AAAAAAAAAATATAACATTAAAAACAATCCAACAAGCTCACCAAAAAATATATAACATTAAAAAGAAAGAAATATTTTTTTCTCATATTCATCACAAAAAAACATATTTTTGTAAAAAAAAAATATAACATAAAAAACAATTTCTCATATTCATCACAAAAAAACATATTTTTGTAAAAAAAAAATATAACATAAAAAACAATCCAACAAGCTCAGCAAAAATATATAAAATTAAAAAAAAATAATATATTATTTTATTTCTCATATTTATCACAAATAACATATTTTTATAAAAACAAAACGTATTTTTATTTTAAAAAAACAATTTTTTTTTAAGAACCCTAAAATCGAGCCAAAGAACACATAAACTTTAGAGTCAAAATCAACCCCAAATCTTTCATTTTTGAACAAATTGACATGGGGATATGATATATACTTCAATTAAGATTCAAATGCCCCAAATTTCACGAAGATTCATTCACTATTGAGATCTTTATTCAAAAAATTGTGAATTTTTCACTTCACGAAAATTTCAGGAAAACAACACATCAAAAGAAAAATCGATATAAAAATATTTAATCAATAGTAAATCAAAATAACTAGTTTATTTGATAGATGAGGCCTTTATGATCGAACTTCGGTGATCAATTCAATAAAATCGATCACTTGATCGACTAGAAATCAATTTGTTTGGATAAAAAACAAATATTCGAGCAACAATACTTCGGGCCCAAAAAAGCCTCAAATCTTCACCATTTTGGAAAAATGAAAATATGTGAAGGTTGAATTCTTCAACAATGAATCAAAACCCTCCATTTTTATGAAAATGTATAAGATATTGAAGCTGCATTTGATAGAATGTAAAAAAATTATAATTTTAAAAAATCCCCATTTCAATCCGCCAAGAACTCTTTGTTTTTCGACTTTTAATTCAACAATCGATGATTTATAGAAACTTTCTGGTGTATAACATCTATAGTTGACCGAAAATACAAACAAAACAGGAACATGGAATAAACAAAAGCTGCAAAATCTTGTTTTGTGAAAAATAACAGCCATGTGTCAAATAACGGCTGTTATTTGATGCGCTGAAAACGGTGGTATATCGAACGTTAAAACGGTAAACCGGGCCGGTTAAGAAAAACTGGCTGGTTTAGACTAAATACCGCAGTTCGACCTTGAACTGGCCGGTTTTGGTGCCGATTGTTTTTGGATAGTATCGTCTTATGAGGTGTGCCTTAAAACTGGCCTTAACGGGACTCGCCACCCCACCGGTAGTGATCTAATCAATCGGTTTCGGTTCTAACCGTTCGGTTTTGCAAACACTGGGCTCGGCTCATCTCAGCTAATTATCAAGGGAATTTAATATGAGCCAACACGATGGGAGCTGAGCTGAGCCGCCTAAGCTGAGCCGAGTTAATTACAGCAAAAAAAAAGCCAAGCCAAGCCGAAATGTGCCGAACCGAGCTCATAATCGGCTATCTCCAAATAAGCAACAGCTCTCTCTCTCTAGTCTATATATATAGGGTGCCGTTTCTATAAGGTTGCAACCTTAAACAATCCAATTAAAACGTATCTTAAAATTTTATTATAACATGTAATTTTGTTGTAAAAAATTCATAGTATTATCTTAAAATCTATTTTCATACCTAATTAAAAAAATTTAAATTCCAACAATAGTTAAAATTAAGTAGATCTATAAATATATGAAAATCTTGAAAATAGATGGTCTAGATAATGTGTTGCAAGATGCACTATTTTCAGGAGTTAAAAACTTTTTTTTTTTATATTCATACATTTCGAGGTTGAGGTGATCGATTAGAGTGTTTTTTCAAAACTAAAACAGCATTTTCGATAGATTATTATGGTGCATACGTGATTCTGCATTTTAAAGGTGCGACCTTATATAAACTTTTCCCATGCATATATTCATTCTCAAAAAAGCCAACGGCTCTCTCGATATGTATATTAATTCCGAAATAAACAACGGCTCTCTCTTCATAGTCTATGATCTATATATATATATTCATTCCTTTTGCTTTGACACGCTCAAGCTCTTCCTGGAAACACAAATGGCCTGCAACTCTTTCTCTAAGTAGACGTCCCCATTAACAATCTACTGATCTACTCTCTTCTCTCTCTTCGCGTATCTTGATCAGAAACCAATCCATCTCTCTCTGCATTTCTTGATCACAGAGCCAGCCGGCATGCATATTGTCAAATTTCCTCCTCCAGACTATAAGGCTTCATTCGTCATTGATCAGAAATCCATTAATCTTTTTCTTCTTCTTCTTTTACAATCAAGAAAATGGCGAAGGGTACTTCAAACGAAGATGACAGAAAATGGCGAACGGTACTTCAAACGAAGATGACTAGCTCAACAACGATAGCCACCCAAAAAGGAGAAACTATTTTGGTGGCGTTTCCAGGAGAAGAGCTCATCGAGAGCATGATGGTCCCAATTCTCGCTCTAACACAAGCAGGGTCGCGATGAGGCCATTTGCTCACTTTTTTAGAATGGATTTTTGATTGTTGCTCCTCAACAATGATTGATCAACTTTGAGCTCAATCAACGCTTTGCTGATAATGATCATGAGCTACAAACTTGGCGGCTCAGGAGAGAGAGAAGGCCTGAGGAACAAGTAGAGCTATGCTGGTTTGGGAGCACAGAGGCTCCACCTCCTCCAATAAATCAATCGGAATGGCCTTTGCCTCTTTTACAGGGAATGGGTTCATCCCCTCAAAACCCTAAGTCCACAACAGGATCACAAGCTCATGTTTGGTCTCGTTTTCTCCCTCAAATCCTTCACTACCAAGATGGATCCGACAAAACCTAACCTCTCTGTTCTCCTACTTTCTCTCTCCACATTTCTTACATCTGGCTCTCTCCATTTCCATGTGGTTTATTCTTCTTCTTCATCACCTGTTTCACAATTCAAATTCCGTCATACTTTATTGGATAGTGATTTGGTTTCTCAATTAGGGATTAATTTGGGAGATCTTAAATCAAATCACTTTGCATTAATATATTAGGGACGCAAGATTTACTGGCCGTATAAAAGGAAAACTATTCGATGGATGTTACCTTTAAATATTTCAGAATATAGAGGTTACAGAACTGTACTATCCTTAGAAACTTGAAAACTTAAACATAAACCTTAGTTGTCATTAGTCTCTGCTTGATCTTAGTCTATTGATAATTGTGTTCGCGTCTCTCTCTCTATCTCTCACAGGTTCGCTCCCTGTTTTTTTAATATGTATGTAGTGGCATGTTGATTTTTTTCTTGTGATGATATTGAAGGATAATTCGTCCAATATATTTGAAATATAAATTAAAAACTTACCAATATTTTAATTCTTGTATTTTAGAGTGTTCTTGTATTCTTTTTGTGTTGTGGTGTTCATTAACGTTGATTCTTCAAACATAAACAGAAACTCGAATGGGAATTTCCAATTTGATGTATCATAAGGGATTTCCATATGGTGAAATTATGATTCCCATTGAAAACAAATGTCTCAAATCCTTGGTGCTTGATCCATGAAAACAATTATAGAGCAATTCCATGGATCCATGAAAACAATTATAGAGCAATTCTATGGATGCCAAAGCCTACAATAGGATTTTGATAATTGGGGTTTGCTTTGTACTCGTTCACAATCTCTGTCTTTTTTCTTTCTTGCAATGCTGATAAAGGAAATCTTGGGTTCTGCCAATTACCAAGTCAAGGATTCTCTTTTCATATACCAGGTCAATGATGCTCTTTTCATAGCTTTCAAACAAACACATTCAAACTGAGAGAGTCCATCTGGGATTAAGGTGGAGTTTCTTTCTATTATATGCATTCTTCATTTTTTATTTGCATGCATGAAAAGTAGGAGATTATTTGATTAACATGGTTGCATTTTGGTTAGTGAAATTCATTCTCTTTTCCCTCGTTGTTTTCTCTTTCTCTTCCAATATAAACTTCCTCAAAAAAAGAAAAAAGATAAAGAGCTGAATATACCTAGGTAATTTCCATTTACACCGGGCAATATCTAAACAATTCTCAAACATACTTAGCTGTAGTGCTCTCAGTCAACCATGGAGTAGTTATGTTAATACTTTTCTAAATCAAATTTGAATTCTAACATCCTTCTCATTTAAGCTTTTACATAAATGGCTACGCACGGAAAATGGTTTGTGGCCCAATCTGCCATATTTATTTCTCTTTATTCCATTATGGCTTCTTTTGGGTATAGACATAGACATGGCATGAGTTTTTTGTGAAGTGGCATAAATATTCAAAGTAAGGGAGTGGGGTATCTCTCAAATTTTTAATATTGATGTGCCATTGTTCAGTTTGCTTTTATAGCAATGAACTTTGTAAAAGTTTTGTTTTCGCAATTTCTGAAGGGTATAAGATCCTTAATAGATGGTCAAATGTGTTTAATGTCAAAAAGGATATGGACCATGAAAGGTTATTGGATTGGAACTGGACCATACAAATTCTACAAAGCTGAGTCTTTGCACTGTTGGAGGGGCTGAAATTGTATGATTATAGATGGGCCCCCTCCCTTGCGGTGGAAGGGGATTCAATAAAGAGCACGTATACTATGCTCCCTCAAGAGCATAGTTTACTTCTTCTCCCTCGGTCAGATGACCTACTAGGAGGATTTTTTCAATCAAAATTTTGATAACCATCTTTGAATCACTCGATGATTATTCTTAAAAAATAAAATTGAAATTTGAGTTTCTAACACTTGGATGGTTTCTATTAAATCTTGAGACGTTTATTTAGATGGTGCAATTAGGAAATTTCTTCTATTGATGCTAATCTATGTGTTAAAGAGGTTATATCCCCAAAATTTGGGGTCCTAAAACTAGTCTTAGGTGGGGTTTTCATCTGAGGGAGTAAATGGACAGTATACTCCAGAGGGAGTAGAATATCTTTTGGCTCCAATAAATCTTAATTAGATTGGCCTCAAGCAAGTACCTTGTCCCTAGAGTCTCGAAACACTTTTTAACCGAATCTTCAAGATTTGCGCTCTATGGAAGTGTCCCTCTTGCACTTATGGTGCAAGGCTAACGCGGTTGCAGATGCCTTGGTGAAGGATAGGGCTGCTAGTAATGGTTTTGTACTTAAACAGGCCCCAGTCCTAACCGGGATGTTTTTATATTCCAATGTTGTACAAATTACCATTTTTGGTCCCTAGCCAGTTTTGAACAGATACTGTTATATGCAACCATCTAATTTCTTTACCATTATTACAATATCAACTTGCTTAAAAAAAGAAAAATGGACCATACTTAAAAGTGTTATCTGAAGCTGCTGCCTAGGTCATATGAATCATGAGATCTGTACCCTAACGTTTTTCCTTTTTCTTTGGTTTAGTAGCTGGGTGGCTTAAAGCACATAAGCTGCTGGTTGCAACATCAAGCACCTCCCAATCTATATATGATGTTCAATCTTCATCCTAGAATAAATCAAATTAGTCATTGGTGCAAAATGCACTTTGGGGCAATTGCTGACCTGCTGCACCTGTATCAATGGGCGTTAAATTCATTTAAATTCATTTTGGTGATTTAAGACTTCAATAAGCTTATAATCTTCATACAATGGAAAAATAAGCTGTTGATCTTCATGGGCATTAAGTATGGCGGCTTATCTTAAGTATCTTGTTCGTTGAAAATATAAAACAATTGTGTAATGAATACCTGCCTTTTAGACATCTTTGGATTCTGACTGTGCATCTTCGTTTGGATGTTACAGATCATCTTGATCACAGATCCCAAGATGAGTGATCTTCGGGAACCCTTGAGGTATGTTTGTAACTTATATGTTGAATACGTGGTCAAGAATCCGCTCTATGTTCTTGGGAACCTAGTCAGGTAATCTATTTGTATTTGTTTTATAATCTTAGCTTATTAATTTTGACTCTAATATTTGTTATACAAGATGACTTGTTTGTTTAACCTCATCAAAGTAACTATGGTAATATTTGTTTGATTGATAATACCATGATTGCTGGGAGGTTATTGTTTGTACTTCTAACTGTAGTATTCCACATTTATACCGAACTTTATGAAGTAACAGTTAGCCAAATGCACATAAGAACTGAATGTGTAATTTTGGTAGATGTTCATTATGGTCAACCTAAAGATCTTTTAGCTTGTTCTTGCTTCTTGATTTTCCGAAGTTATTGGAGTTTATGTTGAGAATTACTAAAAAATTCTCAAAATACTGCATGATTTTGCCAAGCTGTACTGTGGACATATTTAAACAACTATGCTAATCACCTGCATGTCCTTTCAGTTTCCATCTGTGAACTCCTAAGATGAGCTCCAACTTGGTCTCCATAGATTTGTGCCACAGGATTCACATTCATATATGTGGTATGCCCAGTTGATGTGCATCTAGAAATTTTACAAGGCCTGGCTGCATCTCTCTCTCTCAGAAGTTTTTAGGCGAAGAATAAATCAATTCAAAATCCAACTTGTATCAGGAATGACACCAGATTCAGCAGCAATGGCAGACAGCTGTAATTTTATAGGCTTGACATTTAGTAAAAATGCTCAGATTAGGATCAAATCAATGCATAGGTAATGCTTTAGATAGAAACAAAAAATGCTGTTAAGGACATTCCAGATACAAAACCAAACATTTATCAGAATATTAACTTTGGTGGTCAGAAAACTGCAGTACTTCGTGGATGCCAACTTTATTCACTGCAATTGAAGTTCCCATAAGAAGTGCCGATGATCTTTAATGTGGAATCCCTCATGGCACAAAAAATAGCTGTTGTTGGCAGCAGCATTTAAGTAGTTGTTTTACCAAAGGATGGGCTGAAGCCAATACAAGTTTCCCCCGGGGATGGTTAAGGGTAATCGTGAAGCAGTTGAGGCACTTTTACCTTTGACATCCTCCATTCCAGGAATTTCAGAATGGAGCATTGAAGGAATAATTGCACATACACAGTCACAAGCTGCCAATGAACCGGCAATTTGTACATTCTTGGGCATTAAATCACTTGAAGTGTTCATCAAAGTTACCAGTTGTATCGAGTTGTCTTGTATCACACTCAGTGGATGAATTCAGTTATGCTCTATTATTTTTTTCCTTATACCATATATTTTGTCCTCGTGATTGGGTTTTAACTTACTGTCTGATGCAGAGGGACTTGGAAACTTCAAAGAGAAGTGACATGTCAATGGAGGCTAACTCACAAAAGAAAGAGATGATTGAGGTAACTCCATTGCTGGCAGTTAGATGTTATTTGTGCTTTTTCTTCTCCGTCAATTTGGATTTGTGCAGAACCTTTCTTCAAATTGTGGAAATGAAAATCTGAAGAAAATGGACTTACACTATAATCACTTTTACGCTTTTCAATTGTTAAACGATTATTGCTACTGGATTTCGTACTTGGTGGTCAGGAATTTAGGATGATTTGTAAGCTCACAAAAACTTTTCATGTAGTAACCATGTGTCTCTATTCTCAATTTGACCATTGGGCTCTACATTCCAACTGTCTGCAGTGGTTATTTTTTGTTGTTTTCTTCCCTGAAAAACTAAAACTTTGGTTATGCTAGTTCATAGACACCTGTTGCCATAAAGATCATAACCCCATGTTCATATGGTTGTTGATTAAAGACAGACATGGCTTACCACAGAGAAACCAGAAACCCCTAACATATGATGAACATAAACAAGATAAGAAGCCACTGAGATCTTTCTGGGAATCCACTGAAGCATCTTCAAGTTCTCACCAAAATACAATAAACTCGAAACAGCTAGGGCATGTTATTACAGCTCTGGCCAATCATCTAGTGACAGGAATTGAGGGCAATGATCCACAACAACATCTGTAATGTAGGGTGGAGATAGTGATTGTGGTGAGTTAGCCATTTGGATTTCCTTTTTTTTCAACTACTAGGATGATGGTGTCAACATTCTCTTCAGCAAGGACCATAATTTGTTAGTTTAACGACATTATATTTGTTACAAATATGAGAAGATTTTTACATATCTCATTTCCTTGTGTGGACTATTCTCTCCTCAGATGGATTGCTTTTGGTTGAAATCAGTTATGTAGTACTAATTTAATGGCTTGTACTTGTGAATGTTGAGTCCTATGCTTTTTATTCAGGTACCTAACTGTAGGGGCGCCTCTGAAGCTGTGAGCTCAATTCCTCTTCTATAATTTCCAAAAAAGGACCATAGTTAGCTTTATCATTGCCTTTTTTTTTTTTTTAATTTCATCCTTCGACATCCAATTGCTTTATAAATGTGATCCATTTGCATGCTCCTTCTCACTATCAATCAATTGCAGTATCTTCACTAATGGCCTAAAAATACGTAATGCATAGAACCCTAGTCCTATTTTGTGAGTCCAAAACAATATTAACAATTGATTTTCCATTTGCCCTTTTGGCCCACTTGATTTTTGTCAACCCTAGGCCCTTGCATACAATTTATCAATAGGATTTGTATTAAGGTGGGTTTTCTGTTGCTGATGTTGTATAGAGAGAGAGAGAGAGAGAGAGAGAGAGAGAGAGAGAGAGAGAGAGAGAGAGAGAGAGGAGGAGGAGGAGGAGGAGGAGGAGGAGGAGGAGGAGGAGGTAGGTAGGTAGGGTAGGGTAGGGTAGGTAGGAGGTAGGAGGTAGGTAGTAGTAGTAGTAGTAGGTAGGTAGTAGTAGTAGTACGTAGTACGTACGTACGTCGTT